CGGACATGCATGACCAATTAACGCATGCCAATATGCAAAACACTGTGTCTCTAAAATAGCATCCAGTGACTTCGCTTTCAAAATTTAACCTGTTACCCTCTTCTTTCTATTCCTATTATCTATGCTAAATGACTCAGCAGATAATAAGACACAATATCTATGGTCTACTGGCTCGAACTGGCTAGTGCTAAATTATGTCAAATTGTGATTTGAGAATGATCCACTACTTCTTGGTTCCGTTTCACATTAAAACGAGTAAGTCAGGATATCGTGTTTCTTTTTCGGCCATTTTATTTCTTTCCATTACGTATTAATAAAATCTTTGGTGCAGAACTTTTCAAGACTAACTGACGGAAAAATAAATGACGTTCGTATTAGCATAATTGGTTGTTTGTTTAGCAAAGCGTCATCTCGCTCTTTTGGTTCATTGTGTTGCTATGGTCCTTGACCTAAAGAGAACAGTAAGATGTATACGAGTATTAAGCACTTCGAGAAGGTTCCTCCTTGACGTATAATTCCTGGGGCTTATTCTTGGATCTACTGAACTTCCTGAAATTCTTCAGCTATAAAGCAACAGCTTCGTGGGTTCCGGGGTAGATGTTGTGATTTCTAATAATTTTCCAAATCGTTTATCGCTTAAGGTTGTTGTCAAATTATTTGGAAGCATGCCCAAATCAATACTACAAATAAACTTTAGAGACAAATATGTGGAATACGAAAGTCAAAAGTTGTTTAGTTGATCTGATTTGATTTTGCTTCGTGTAGGTCTCTTTTTTAATTCCTCAAATTGTTCCATGGCCCCCTTCGGAACACAGAATTTCAAATAGTAAGTTTCTCTTTTCCTTGAGGCATATCAGCCACAAACCTTCGAAAACAGTTGACTCTTGATGTTCATGACCAGACATAAAAGTGTGGACGGATCGATGTATCTGCACAACTCCGCAACCACCCCTCCCCTAACCCAACATTAAGCCTGATTTGTTTTGAGTGGACTTGTTACGACTTGACTGTTGCTGATTTAGGGGAGGGGTAAGTGTTCAGTTGCTTAGGTCTGGCATTTATCCGTGTGGGTTAAGAGACATTCGCTCTCAGTCTCAGTTGTTTGTTTAGCAGAGCGTGATCTCACTCTTTTAAGTTCATTGTGGTGTTATGGCTCTTGAGCCAAAGAAAGCTGTAAAATCTATAGGTTTAATGGGCACTTCCAGAAGTTTGGGGCTTATTCTTGGATATACTGAACTTTCTGATATTCTCCAGCTTCAAACCTCCAGCTTCGTGGGTTCCAACGTAGATTATCTGATTTTTTTATCATTTTCCAAATCGCCTATCGCCTAAATTTGTTGAAAAATTATGTGGAAGCATTCCGAAATCAAGGCTATTAGTAAACTTCACGGAAAAATATATGAAATCCAAAAAAAAGTTCTTAGGTTGTTTGATCTGATGTGATTTGCTTCGTTTAGGTCTATTTCTGGTCCTTTTATTCCACGAAATTGCCCTGCTCTCCACTTTGCAACATAGAATGTCACACGATTAATTTTTCTTTTCATTCATGGAAGTCAGCCACAAGCCTTGGATAACATGGGTTAGCCTACGAACATACAAGTGCAGTAAATGGCTTGAACCCTGGGGTAACATGTGAGGGTGTAGTCTTATCGTCCGGGTGAGTGTAGTCCTGAGAAGGACTGTTGTCGGTGGTAGTGACTGACGTTTCGACAACCTGTGCGGAAAGTTCGCACAACACGATTTGTAACGAAAACATAATTCGAAACACGAATAGTAGATGATCTTAGTTCGCCTGTTACAAATTGGAACTGACACAAACTTAATTCGAAAAAAAAAAGAATCCAATACAGAAGCAACAAAACAAAAGCGACCTTTAGCTAACATCATTGAGAATATATACGTTAAACACAATTCGTAACGTCAAAAACACCAGTGAGAACATTGAAATGCGNAAAAAAAACAAGCGAAGAAAAACATCAAGACCGCTAAACTTTAGGATTAACACAACCAAAATGGGAGACCTGTGAAATTTACATTCACTACCTCGAAAGTGCTGAAAGCTTGTGGTGCATCAATGAAATATCGGTAAATGAAGATCAACGTCAATGAAACACAAAGCACTCAAACTTCTATGGAATTTGTTTCAGTTGTTGTCAAACGAATTAAAGAGAGGGTGCAGTAAATGGTTTGAACCCGGGGGTAACATGTGAAGGTGTAGTCTGATCGTCCGGGTGAGTGTAGTCCTGAGAAGGACTGTTGTCGGTGGCAGTGACTGACGTTTCGACAACCTGTGCGGAAGTCATCATCAGAGTCAAGTGAGTGATTGTTGTCAGTAGAATGTTCTTATTCCAGTTCGTGTGAAATGATCGGTTGGTTTTGCCGTGATGTTATTGGCTGTAAGACTCAAGTGACGTAAGTCGTTCGTGATTGGTCTGTTTCGGTCTGTCGGTAAAGCTAGGTTGTTCTTTTTCGGTCGTTTGTGATGTTTATGTCGTGAATGAGTCGTTTGTATGGGGCGGGTAGTTGTTGACATCTGTTTAGGGGAGTCTGTTCTAAGTTAGTAAACCAGCTTTCCAGAGTCAGTCGTTGAAAATAGTCAGTGCTGTAGGTTAGGCATTGCGCAGAGTCCCAGTCAATGTTGTGGTTGGTAAGTCGATGGTGTTCAGCAATGTGATTGCTGACATCACCTTTCCTCGTCGCCCGTCTGTGTTCAGTCAGTCTTGTTGTGAGGTTTCTGCCAGTCTCACCGATGTAGGAGGCTTGGCAGTCGGAACAATTGATCTTATAAATCGTTCCCTGTCTGTTCCTCGGTTCGTCTTTGTCTTTAACGTTGGTTAGTAACTGACGTAGTGTGGTGATGGGTTTGTGGGCGACGCGGATATTGAAGGGTAGTAAGATGCGCGAGATGTTTTCAGACATGCCTTTTATGTACGGTATGGTTGCTGTAGTCGTAGGGGTTGCGGTGTCGTTTGTTTCGGTAGTGGTAGTGGGTCGGTGAGTGTTTCGTCGGATGAAGTCGTTGTTGTAGTTGTTCTTCGTAAAAACACGGTGAAGGTATTTGTTCTCGTCGGATAAGCTGTCTGTCGAGTCGCATACTAGTTGTGCGCGTCGTGTTAGAGTTCTGATAGTTGTGGCTTTGTGTGATGTAGGGTTGTAGGATGACTCGTCTAGTAATCTGTCGGTGTGTGTCGGTTTCCTGTAAACTGTCGTCCGTAATGAGTTGTCGTTGTGGCTTACCAGGCAGTCTAGAAAAGGAAGTTTGCCATTTTCTTCGACTTCTCTGGTAAACTGTATGTCAGTGTTTTGTTCGTTAAGGTGGTGGTGGAATGCGTCAATTTCGTCGTGTCGAACGGCGGTGAATGTGTCGTCAACGTAACGTAACCAAAGCGGTAACTCGTCCTTTGTCGGCTGGTAAGACGGTATACAATCAACGTCACTACATGACAGCAACTTGACTAAAGACGAACAACGCGCACTGAAGCGACGAGAACATAGTCATCCTACAAGCCGAGAAAGGACGAGTTACTGTTGTTATGGACAAAACTGACTATCACGACAAAATGGACGCACTAGTTAACGACAAACGAACTTACGAAGAACTCAAACGTGACCAAACTCCTGCACTTCAACGTAAACTCAACCGTAAATTACTGACACTCAAGAAAACAAACGCCTTTGACACCCAACGGTACTATCGACTGAGGTGCTCGGTACCACAGCCACCGAAAGTCTACGGTTTGCCGAAACTACACAAACCTGGTTTCCGGATGCGACCTATTGTTTCTTTCTGTGGTTCTCCCACATACCAACTATCCAGGTACCTGACGACAATACTACAACCGCTAACTGAAAAATACAGACATAAACTAAAATCCACTAAAGACTTCATTAACGCTACCAAGACTGTTCAGATACCTGACGACTACAAACTAGTCTCATTTGATGTGAAATCGCTGTTCACAAGTATTCCACTTCAATTGGCATTACAATGCACTGAGACTGCAAACCGACAATCTACCGACCCACTACCGCTACCGACAGACGACATCATGGACTTGCTAAACATTTGCCAACACGTCAACTTATTTTCAGTACAACGGCAAACACTACAAACAGTTACACGGCACTGCCAGGGGGTCTCCAGTTTCTGTTCTTATATCAAAAATTGTGATGCAGAACATCGAGGAACGCGCCCTTTCGACTTGTTGACAAACGATACCGCTTTGGTTACGTTACGTTGACGACACATTCACCGCCGTTCGACACAAGGAAATCGACGCATTCTACCACCACCTTAATGAACAAAACACTGCCAAACATTATTTATGTTCTTTGATAATTTAAAAATAACAATTATTGCACAACCACTTTACAGTACTTTATGACTGACATCAAACTTTGGATGTGTACAGACCAGAGGCGGATCTAGGGGTGGTTCGGGTGGTTCGGTCAAACCCCCTAAATTGTCCCTCGAAATGCTGGAAATCATGTTTCCGAGGACCTAATTTTCAAAATCTCCTAGGGGAGCATGCCCTCGGACAATTCTTCACTGACCCCCCTTGACTGAATCCTAGACCCGCCCCAGCAGACTACAGTAGATCTATTTTTAATATTTAGTTTCAATCCTTACTTGTAAGTTTTCAAGTTTTCTCCATAATCCTATCCTGAAAGAACCGTCAATAAATGAAATTGATGTAATGCCAACTGTTAGTAGAATTAGCGTTCTGTCTTAGTGACAATAGAAGGACAAAATTGGAAAAGGTAATAATACAGTTCCTACAATGTTTCAACTGATTGAAACATGAACGAAACCTTTCAAACTGAACACTGTACTTTGTTCATAGCTTTTCAAACCCCTCTACGATTAGTTAAGTCGTGATCATGGAGGTACATATCCATGTACAATTTGTAAACACGAAATTATAGATCATAATCTCACGAC